GAAAGAGGGAGAGACACTGCTTCTTTAAATAATTACAGTCAAATCACCTACAAGTTGAAAGCTCCGTCTGACTTATGTTATCATTGTTTCACCTTTTTACAAAGGGGTTTAAAACTATTTACATCTTTTTGCATAATAACCATAAAAGATAGCGTGATCTGAAGTGTGCCAGACAAGAGTTCAAAATTCAATAGATATATTAAAAGCTTTCCAGCACAGCTACAACTTCTGACTATTTATGATATGGCTGAGGGAATTAAACTTTCCTTGGATTCATAAGTAGCTACCATCGTAGAGCATTAACCAGTCCTCTGCTTAATAAATTATGCAAGAATCTTAAGTACAGGAAACTGGGGGAAAATGAAGTGATTTGGCACATGAATCTGGAAGTCAAATAACCCCCGCCTGCAGGTGCAGAGCGTGCTGCTCCCCTCGCTGCTAAAATCACGACAAAACCTCGTCTAGATCGTGGCATCATGCTAGGAACAACTGGAGGTACTGAATTAGCAGTAATTTACATTTGCAGACACATCTATGAGCTCTGTGCCCATAGCAGAGGGGGAATTGCTCCTTCGATGACCCCCAAAACCTCAGTTAATTTTTTTTTTCTCCCCCTCCCCAGACTTTTTCACATGGATGCAGAGAAGCAGGGCATATGGAGCACGCTGCCTCAAACTTTCTAGAAATCTGTGAGCCTGCGCCTCCCCACTGAGCCCTGCCTGGGTTCTCACCTTTCCCTTAGGACAAACGTATTCACGAAAACATGAAACCTTGCTCGTGACTGCAGTTGCCTCCGTCCAAGCGCTGACACCACTTAAGACGCTGCCCTGGCATCACTCGGCGTTTGCTGCCTTCTCCAGGCGATGGAGGAGGCGAAACCCGGGACACCTCCAGTGCCATGAAATGCTGCAGCCCGGGTGGGCAATATCTGCTCCTGGCAGGTGCCGGGGGTTCGCGGTTGGTGCCGGTGATGGACTGGGATGCGCTGTTGGACCACGACGCCAAGGCAGCATTAGAGGGCACTGCAGCGCTAGAAATGCTGCCCCACACCATCCTCGCCAAAAAGGAGGGTCAAGGGCGGGGGACCGGCATCATCTGCGAGTTCAGGGCTCTTTCAGAAATGGTACAGTGGCAACTCTTAGTCTCCCGTCCTGTCGAAAGCCCACAAATACAGTTTTCCTTGCCCATCTTAGCACGACGGGAATACCTGAGAGCGTACTGAAGCTCAGCCTATGACCTCTTCCTCCCTCTCTCTCCCCCTTTCCACTCATCCCTTTAAAACCACACCTGATCCAGTGTTTTATTCCTGCTTGGCGTTATGGCTATAGGTGCACTAACAGGCAACTTTTTTCAGTTTATATGTATTGATGTAACGTTTTGTGTGACTCCGATAAGCAGAATACTACTCTCTAATTTTCTGTAATTAAAGCTCAGCACTCAAGGAAGGTCTGTTTGTAAATGCTGGCTGAAATCCAGAATAGGTGCAGCTGAGCAGAAGAAAGCATAAGCACATTTAGTAAGCTCACTTCTCAGATTTGCTTGTTTCTGTGATAAATGGGAAAAAAAAAATCACTGACCAGTTATTTAAAAGATTGAGGAAAACCTCCTTCCTGTCTGTCTGTCACCGGTTCATTCATTCACTCTTGGTTCATTCATTGACTCTTTAGTCGTTACGTTTCAATGGGCAGTTGCAAAAATATTTCAGGCTATTTAGTTATTTCTGCAACTTAATAAATTTCTGAAAAGGTATGTGCCGTAAAAGTAATATAACAGCGAGAGCTGGAATTTAACTTCGGGGCAATCCGTGACGATACACCGCGAAAGGCTGCAAAATACACATACCATTTGGGCACTCCCTGCTTCTCTTCTATACACACGTGTACATATATATGTATACATAATATTTACTGAAGTCATCCAGACTCAGTAAGGAGTAAGAAAAAGCCTAGCAATGACCTCAAATTTTGGCCTGAATTATATAACCAAAAAAAGGTGGGATGTTCAATCGCATTTTATCCTTCTATGCCAGGCCCTGAAGAACGCACGTATCAGATTCTTCATGCTTTAAGTGATAAATTTAACAAGCCAGAGCATAAAGCAGCAGATCCTCAAGCGATGGAAACTGTCACAGATTGATTGAAGTTCACAGTGTAACGACAATTTACATAGGCTAAGGATTTGCCCATTTGCCTGTATATTATCATCGGTGGAGCTGAGGTGGAAGAATATAAACTCATTGCTCCGTGGTAGTGTTATTTACTACTAAACATATCTCTTTCTCACAGGTCGCTACATTTTCATTAGTAAAGGAAAGTCACTACAAATACTCGCATGGCAATTACAACACAAGTAATGGCTTGGTTTCCTTGGAGGAGCTTTATGTGCTATAATATACGAAACGAGACAGCGGGTGACTTAGTGGATCCTTGACGCTTGTTTAGTTCCTCGTGATTTAAAACTCCCTCTGATCAGGACACAGATTTGCCATCAGAGCACACGTTACCACATGGCACATGCACATCTTCTGTTAATAATCATTAAGGGCAGGAAACCAACATTTTTGCATAATTCAGAATGCACTGAAGACTTCAGAAAGTCTTTTCACCTCAAGCGTAGGGATTGATTTGTCAAAAAACCAGTTGAATATTATTGAACATGACATATTTAGGGTGGATATCATTAAGTATTCATGGCAGCGTATTAGACGTAGTCCTTGTAGGCTATTACAAGATGTAACTAACGTATAAATTCGTCTTTTTGGTATCTGTTGATGCCGTCTGATCTGGAATTCATTTCCCAAATGAGTTTTATGGTACTTTATGTAAACATTACAAAGTAGGTGATATCAAGTGCATTAATCTTTTGGTTTAGTTCGATATCTGGGTCTCTATATCTTCTCACATCTCATTAGTCTGCAGTTACTATATTTTGATGCCTTGACTCGTTTTAAACTCAGTCTAATAGACTACTTCTGCTTGGCACAAACTGTGAGCATGAAATTAAGTTGGCACCATCCGCCTGATAGAGATGAAGCACCCGCGAAGTGCTATCTCTTCACATTTCATGGCAGCGGAGAATGAATAATCAGGATCTTACCAATAATTCATTCAAAGTGAAACATGACTTGGACAAGTAAGTCCTGCAAACCTGGGCAGGCGGTGATAAGCTCAGAACAAATTGATACAATTTTTCATTTTTTTTTCCCTGACTCTTGCTAATTCATGAAAAGTGTTGCATGAGGCTTTTCACTCCCAGCCTGAATGGCCGATAGCATGCTTTAGAGCCACTGATAGCAGCGAAGCAAAAAGGGCAAGCTCTCTGCCAGCGCTGCCGAGGACACTGGCTCATTCATTGAAATCCTTCCTTAATGGCTGAAAATGGAGTTTCCCCTCCTTCCCTCAGAGGCAGCAGAAAAATTTGCTATTCACACGACGGTTTGCCGAGAGACAAACTCAAACACAAGCTCCCGCCAAACAAGCAAACAAAGCCCCCAAAGGGACTGCTGTGGGGTCGTGTGTCACCCCTTAGCTGCAGGCATTTTGCTTGGCTTTTGTACAGCTCGCGTTAAATGAAGTCTCTTAAAATTGATTAAAAAGAAGCTTGAGTGTGAACGCTAATTCCAAGCCTCTCAGGCACAGGTTTGAGCCTGAATTTCCCTAATTTCTCTCCAGTCGTGACTTCGCAGGTCCAGCCTGCGTTCCAGTTTCAATTACCTTCTGCCAAGATGTTATTTTTATATACAAATCCCTGGATTTTCTCTAGAGAAGACAGAGCGATAACGTGCTCTCTCATATGCCATGCTTCTTTCCTGGAATAGGTTCGCTGTTTGTGTCATTTGACTTTTTCATTAATTACACGTCTTTTTAAAAGTAATTTCATACCTTTGTGCGAATGAATGAGTGACAGTTAAAATATAAGGAGCGGAGCTGCGGCAAGCACCCTGCTTCCTACTCACGGTAATATTGCTTACATCTTCATAACTAATAATTTCTGGGTAGATCGTGTCAGGGCTTCACACAGACAGGCAGCGGGGAAGAGAGAAGAGGAATATCCCTCCATGTTAATTTGAAATTGAGTCTGGTACAAGTGCAGCCCTTTGCTCTCATAAATACATTGGTGCTGGAGTACCAGCCAAAAAAAAATGGGTGCCCCTCTTTTGCCTGCTCCTTCTCACCGGTCACTAAGGGAGGGGGATCAGGTATTAATTAGCCCATTAATAACAGGCACTGAAAAATATCTGGAACAACCTTTCCCATGCAAAGTCAAGTTGCATCTCAGTTTGCTGAGATTTTTAATCATCATTTTGCATGCCTACTCTGTTGATAGGAGTGAGTCATTACAGGCTCCTACAGGCACCAGAGGATCCAAAATGAAAAGGGACCTCCCTAGAGAAATCCAGTCAGATCTAATTAGCTTTATTATTGATGGGAGAAAGTTAGGTGGTGTCAGAGTGCCTTCCCCCAGCTGACTGAATTTAAAAATACAGTTACTGCCTCATTATGTGGTTTACTTTTGTCAACTACCGTATGTAGCATTTTGCTTTTATCTCCCAACAATAGTTTCAAGTAGTAGGATCTCTTCTGGCTGACATGGAATTAATTGCAAAGCTCCCACGAAGGCATTAGAAAATTCTACATTATCATTAACATCCAGATGACACAGATCCAAACCTTTCAGCGTCCGGAAGAAAACAGGATCGGAGAGGGGCCCCACTCCCTTGGCGTTGCGAGCTTGGATTCTGAAGTAGTAGACGGTGTCCAGGTTGAGGTCCATGATCTGGTGGGTGAGCCGGTCGCCGCTGATGGACTCCATAATCCAGTCATCGATTGGAGCGTTCTTGTCCAAAGTATAGAAGAGGATGTAAGCTGAATAAACACAGTCTCTCAGTTAGTACTGCAATCAAATTTTAACGCGCTTCCGTTATGAAATACGTATAAAAATCAGATTTCTTAAAAATCAGGGTTTTCTCTTTAAAAGCAGCGATGGCAGGTCTCCGATCAAAACAGCTTTGAGGAGTGTTATGACAATACATATTGGCCTATTTTTAGAAGAAAACCACAATTACAGCAGTCACTGTAAGAAATACAAATTTAACAAATACAGAAATAGGTAGCACACATTAATAGGCTGTTACAAGTGCATTTCTCAAATTCAGGTGCACCATTCAGTCTAATAGCTGCCATAAACCATACGATGTAAGTCTTTATATTAGGTAAGTGTTTCAGTGCTGAAATAAAACTAAACGGCACTAATGATACACATCAATTACTGGGTGTGCTTATGGGAAGCCATGCAGTATTTCTTGGCACTATAGGGAAAGTATTTTGGGGAAAAGAATGAAGAATTAAATATTTTGGCAACTCAGGATTCTGGTATCTTAGAGTACTTTAATAACTACCTACCACTGAATAAAACCTAAAAGTTTTAGAACTTCCAGGGTAGAAATACCAGTGTTAGGAAACAATAATAGTTTGTAGAAATTACCTTGCCAGCAAATGAAATTTTGGGAAGAAGCAAAAAAGCCTGTAAGAAAGTCTGGCGCACCCTCTGTGCCAACCCAGCCTCAGCTGGGGACCTGCAACACCAGCCTCTGCCTGAATTTGAAAACATTTTCTTTTTTTCCCCCTCCTCTTTCTTTCTTTTTTTTTCCTGAAAGGTTCCCTGGCAAATTAGTCTTAGGCAAAAAACCAAAGTTACTACAAAATTGGATCCAAAGTTACTACAAAATTGGTGTAAGCCTTATTACTGCTGTTTCCCTAGTCTTTTCCGAAACAAAGATGCTCTTCACAACTCATTCCACATGAATGGTTACCCCGGTCGTGGACAAGCAATGTTAGGATGGAAATGACATGGTTTTGCATGTGGGTTTTTTTGCTTGTTTTATTACGAGATTTTATTTAGAAGCTTGTAGTTTGGGGTTACTAAAGCAGTTTCTCTGACCACGACATCTGAATTGATATATATAAAGTTATGAGAATAGATATATTTTTCTGAAATTAACACAAATGCACTCACTCAAGCATTTGCATGGACAAAGATTTGGTTGTTGGGGACATTTCTGCTCCCCACAAGGAGTCGTTTCCTCTGCCTGATACCTTGTCCTGGTTTCAGCTGGGACAGAGTTAATTTTCTTCCTAGCAGCAGGCACAGTGCTGTGGTTTGGATTTAGGATGAGAAGAATGCTGATAACACACTGATGGTTCAGTTGTTGCTCAGTGCTGCTTATGCCAGGCAAGGACTTTTCAGCTTCCCCTGCTCTGCCAGGGGCACAAGGAGCTGGGAGGGGGCACAGCCAGGAGAGTTGATCCCAACTGCCCCAAGGGCCATTCCATACCATACGGCGTCATGGGCAGTATGGAAACTGGGGGGGTTGGCCGGGGAGCAGCGATCGCTGCTCGGGAACTGGCTGGGCATCGGTCGGCGGGTGGTGAGCAATTGCATTGGGCATCACTTGCTTTGGATATTGTTATTATCATTAATATATTGTTATTATTATCATTACTATTTTACTTTATTTCAATTATTAAACTGTTCTTATCTCACCCCAGGAGTGTTTCTCACTCTTACTCCTCCAATTCTCTCCCCCATCCCATCGGGGCAGGGGCAGTGAGCGAGCGGCTGCGTGGTGCTGAGCTGCTGGCTGGGGCTAAACCACCACATACCTCTAAGAAACATTTGACCACATATGCAATAAGAAAAATCCCCATGAGAGTCATTCTTCAACCAAGTGCTACAAGAAAGAAGTCTGTGCACAAGAAAGAAGTTTGTGCATGGATGTCAGGGGACCCAGTCTGCTCTCAGGTCCAAATGTTGCTGTCGGTGGAAAAACTCTGTAAAAGTGGCTACCACGGAGTCATTTCACACCTTGGAAGTCAGGAAAACTTTTATTTTATTTTGTCTTTTAGTCATAGGGAATCAGGACCATTAGCACTCATTTCAGTGTGTTGTCCACCAGAATGATGGCTTCTTCTCTCTAATGGCTAAATTAGGTTGGTGTAAGCAGAGCCATTCCATCAACACATCCTACTTTCGCACATGGTCACGGATTGTGAAAGTGCTGCTGATAATGTGGAATGAAATTATACACAGTTATGCAAGTCTAACCCAGGAATCGTTACTGCTGGGTGATGTCCGCACGGAAATATATCCTTATCTGAGCGGTAACATAAAGTGGGATACCTTCTTGGCGTAACTCACAACAGCTCATCTGATGCCAGTGAAGCCCTGCTGAGTTACAACTGTTAAAATCTGACCCAGTGCTCTTCACTGCTGATGGCTCACCCGGGACATCACTCTGAAGCATCCTTCCCTTTACGTTGGTATTTCTCAATGCTTCAGTGGCGTGGTGCTGGGATTACTAGCAGTAATGGTGATCATAGAATCATTTAGGTTGGACAAGACCTTTAAGATCATCCAGTCCAACCATTAACCTAACACTACCAAGTCCACAATGAATGCACACGTTCTCCCACATGAAAATATGGTGTAGAACTGGCCTAACCCAACTGTTTGTAGTAATGTGAGCATAATGTGCACGTTTTTGAAGCAGAGCGATATTTCTCCAAATAATTATATGCCTCTGAGATGTCTATTAGCAGACTAAAATGATCATTTAAATGCAAAATCTCAGATAGAACTCTACTATATTTTTCAAACTAAATTAACATTAAGGATTTGTAACGGATTTCTTAATTAGGCACTAAGGTTACATGCAATATTTTTGAAAATAAAATCTGTCATTGCGAAGCATCTATTAAGTTTAGTTCTTGTCAGTCAATATTAGGGTTTTTTTCCTGATCATCACTGCCTTAAATTGTTATTGTAAAGTTAAATATCTACCAATAAATTCTCCCATTATGTGCTGCACCGAGCAACCCATCATTATGTATATTATGTATTGCATTATTGCCAAACAAAGTACTTACTATTAGTCATTTCTAATTATCATTGAGCAGCACGTACCACAAAACCTTTGCTTAGAGCGCTGCATTTTTAAACTTATATTACTGCTCTTAGCATTTAAAAATAAAAGATTTACATCCTCCGAGTTCTAGATCTTGCAGTATTCCTAACACTGCCTTGAATCCTAGACCAAGTTGGCTGATAAAAGTAAGAGAAAATAAAATAACGTCAGATCAAATAGCATTCTAGAAAAAACCCAGAGATGTTTCCACAGAAAATAGGCAATGAAAGCAGCAAATGATCAGAATGGTAAAATAAAAAGGAGAGTGCAGGATAATATGAATGTTTACCAGTAATTTTTCCATTGGCATCCAACGGTGGCTGCCAGCTGACGATGACGGCCCGGGGCTTCCCTTCCCGTGTAATAACTGTCAAATCCTTGGGAGCAGAGGTTGGAGCTGAAAATAGTGAAAATAATTGAAACCAGAAGTTACTCACCTTCTTTTGAATTCCTTACACACCGTAGCAGGCATGAACTACTCAGTCGGCATTTACGACTTTCTTAGACCCTTTCAGATGCGAGCATCCTTAGATGCATTTCAACCACGTAACGTACGATATGTCTAGAAGTGATATTTTAATAGCGGCAATTGTACAAAACACTGCGCATGGATACATTCGGATTTGGCGTATAGCTCTCATCCTCATACCGCTAATGTTGGTCCTTACAGCTAAACAACCACCAATGTACCCAAGAACATCTAATATACTCTGAGAGCCCTAGACATTTAATAACAGTAATAATATTGTGGCTTCTCTATTAGGAACATTTGTAGGTATGTACCAATATAAAACAAATATAATTGGGTATATTCATTAAATATATGCTCAGCTTGGGGCTTTTTAGACACGATAGAAAATTCTTAGCTTTTCTGTTCCCATTGCATTAAAGACAGGAGGTTGGATTTCTGAGCCTGCAGTGTCTGCTTTGCACCCTGCTTTACTAACGCTGGCCATGAGGTCTTCCTGCGCAGTGTCTCAAATATTTTAAAATCATATCCTAAGACTGCGGAGGAGAAAGGAAAAATGGGCAATTATTAAAAATAGTTAAGAGAGAGGAGTAATATATTGGCACTGAGCTAATTCTTCGTTTATTTGGTTTTGATGCAAGCTGTTGACGACTTAGAGCGTATAGATAGCATAACAGCACGGAGAACACAGTGTACGAGCATCACATCATCTGTGTCCTACCCATATGGCCACTAAACAACTTCCTTGAATGTTTGAAGAACGGCTCCAAAGTCACTTTAGGAGGTAAAGCTTTAAAAAGCTGTTGGATCATGCTGAGCTAAACCAGCCTGACCTAAAGCACAGACACAAATCTTCAGGGTGACGAACGTTCAGTGATCTTAAACAACAAGAAGGAAGGGAAGAGCCAGCTGCTGTCCAGGCTCTGGTCACAAGGAATTGATCCCTTTGAAATAACACCGAGCAGATGCTCTCATGGTATTTACACCCGGTGAACTTTTCAAAAGTGGGATCCAGAAAGCAACCGAGAAATCTGTACACAGAAAAAGAAAAGTTTCTTTACCACTGTCATATTACTAAGCAGGTGACTACTCGCCAGCTGATGTTCTTTCTGGCAGATTTGCGGTGGATCATCTCTTTGCTATATGTGCTGGAACAACACGTTCAGCCTGGTGTTTCCAGAGCCAGCACCAACGGGAGTCCCAGTGTCTCACTTTAGCCTTGTCACGTTAGCTGCTCCTCGCCAGAAGCATCTTTCTCAGCCTGAAGCAGGCAGGCCACAACACAAGCTCACAGATCTTTGAGAAGTCTCTTAATCCTCGGCAATGCCCAGCATGACGTGGGCTCCCACATTGCTAGGGAAGTCTGCATTTTTGTTATTGTCATTATTCATCATTATTGTTGTTATTGTTATTATTAATATTACTTCTTGAGAGGGTTGCGTCGCATTTAAATGCTACCCAGCTTATAGCCAGTTGGGACGCTGGCTCATCAGTTTGAAGCACTAGAAGAAACGTCGTGGACTGCCTTGCTATTTCAGGGAACTGCAAGAGATAACCCTGTTCGTAAGCGAATCAGACAATTTTAAAATTTTCCTTCCCTTTACTTTTGCTAAACCTACTCTGCAATATTCTCCAACTTCCCATAAATGTACTTCTACCAAAGTGCATCCATCTCTCTGCATGCAAACAGCATCTTTATCTTAAATACGTTTTCCCATTTTCTGGTATTAACCCTTTTTGACATGTTTTCATGAACTAACCCTTTCCCTTCCTAGGCTTTCTATCCTTTGTGAAGTTAAAATAGTAAAGCTTGTAAGCCCATTTCTGTAATATAGGCTTTGCACGCTGGCGACTACCACGTGAGTCCCGCTGAGCGGCTGAAGTTGAGCTCTGCTTTCAGCAGATTGTGAACATAAGATATCATGAGAAAAATCAAAGCTTTAGATGTTTCCCTTAGCGCTCATTAACACCCCTCGTATCAGCAAGGCTTGTGTAGGCAGATCTGGGGATGGAACTTGGCTCCGAGAGTTGCTTCTGAATTATGGGCATAACAACTCTCCCTAGCCATGGTAGTAATCTCCAGTGAATTCTGTATCGATGCTGATATGTATGTTCTTTAATATCATTACGGGAAATTCAACATGCGGAATGGGTACAAAACAGGCAATAAAGATCAGCAGTGCAGGATGCCCTTAATTAACAGAGCTGCTCCATCAAGCTCAGATAATTGCATTGCAATCACATGGGAAAATCTAAGGACACATATATTCCCTCTTATTTTCCCTTTGTTAATTAACTGGTGTGTACGGTGGTTTTCATTTAAAAAAAAAACCCCAACAAATCAATATTTACCAGCAGACTTCATTTGGTATCTGCTGGTAGAAACTGATTTGTAATGGCACCTAGAGTGTTTTCAAGGCCACTAGTCACCCTCAGGAAAATATAGCATGTACTATACTGCGTTAGTGTCCAAATGTACATATTGCTGTCTACAACAGATGAAGGAGCAAAGTATTTTAAGCAAAACCATAGACATTCTTATCTATGGACTAGGGACTATGGCAAGATATATAGGCAATCATAAAGGCTGTAGAAAATCTTGTAGTTCTGCGGTACACAGCCTCATGCAGTTCAGTGGCATTATTTAAAAGCCAATCTACTCGGGATTTTCAAAAGAGGGGCTCAATAGCTTATTCTAAAAGAAATGCAAATTTAATGGAAGACAAAGACAGCCTAGGGATCAGGATACGTGCTTCCATTAACGCCTATGTGATAACTAGAAGTAAAGCCCAGGCATACTATTTCCCTACTGCAGTTAATTGAAGGCACACAAAAGAGAAAGAAAACAATTACGTTTTGGAGAGGATGTTCTTATCTGTAGAGATCACTATGTCACCATCCCTTTCCAAATATTTTTATCCCACTGCACTAGGGTTACATATAATACCTATCCGGAGTCTGTTATCATAACTGCATTTAGTCCCCTTCAGAATCTGAAGTATCTTTCAGGTCATAGCTTCCTGCTTGGAAAATACCACTCAAATGCTTGAGAAGAGCAGCTAAATTAAGCCTTCAAAGTGTATTTGTTTATTATAAGCGTATTGTTAATCTTAACAATGGCTGCTTGCTGGAAATGAAGTATAGATGTATAAAAACACTGAGCATAGGAAAGATGCCTTACCAAACTGTCAGCAGGGCATTTATACAAGTCAACATTTTGCACAGGGTAGATAATTGTCTGTTTACAATAAATAACGTGCAAGCTGAAAAGACTGCTCACTTTTTTTTATTTTCCCCTGTTCCTGTCTCTGTCTCTAATTCTGCACACACGGTTTCCGTCGCTGTAACTCTGACTGTAGGTCTTGGCTGGACTGACGCGTTGGTCACCAGCGCAGTGCACAGCAAAAAGCTAAAATGTGTCCACATAGTGTTATGATCAGACCTGTGGTTCTTTAGTTTTTAAACACATCCCTTTAGCTCTTGAGCCAGGAAGGATGTGCATTAGATAGAAGCAGCCATTGAGCCCTTTTTACTAAGTGCATAAGATGGGAACTCATGACCTTGAGACTCACAGAACTTCGTAAGTCAAAATTTTGAAGTAGCAAAATCAGTATCTAATAATAAGAGAATAATTGTTCTTGCCTGATCTTGGGTTTCTTTGAAAAGTGAAAACTATTTTAAATCATTAGCTTTTAAAAGTCACAGATACTTATTATAGTATGGGGCAAAGTATTACACACACATACTACCATCTCCTAGCTTCTTGCGATGACAACCAGAGCTCAGTAGAATGACTGCTTGTCCTGGTTTCGGCTGGGATAGAGTTAATTTTCTTCCTAGCAGCAGGCACAGTGCTGTGGTTTGGATTTAGGATGAGAAGAATGATGATAACACACCGATGTTTCTAGTTGTTGCTGAGTACTGCTTATGCCAGTCAAGGACTTTTCAGCTTCCCCTGCTCTGCCAGGTACACAAGAAACTGGGAGGGGGCACAGCCAGAATAGTTGATCCCAACTGCCCCAAGGGCCATTCCATACCATACGGCGTCATGGGCAGTATGGAAACTGGGGGGGTTGGCCGGGGAGCAGCGATCGCTGCTGGGAACTGGCTGGGCATCGGTCGGCGGGTGGTGAGCAATTGCATTGGGCATCACTTGCTGTGTATTATTATTGTTACTATCATTATTGTATTGTTATTATTATCATGACTATTTTACTTTATTTCAATTATTAAACTGTTCTTATCTCAGCCCAGGAGTGTTTCTCACTCTCACTCCTCCGATTCTCTCCCCCATCCCATCGGGGCAGGGGCAGTGAGCGAGCGGCTGCGTGGTGCTGAGCTGCTGCCTGGGGCTGAACCACGACACTGCTCTGCTTTGCTACCCATGAAAAAAAGCGAAGAAATACAGCTAATTTTGACGCGCGCCATCGGTTTATGCAGTTCGGATGAACTTGAACAAGGCTTTTGATGACAAATAAAAACCCCAAAGCAAGCCCTTCCAGCAGCTCTTGCCATACCTGCTTCATAGGTGGTGGCGTGCGCGGTCATGCTCCAGGTGCTGGACCGCCGACCTTTGGTGACCATGACGGAGAACTCGTACATGGTGTTGGGCTTCAGCCCTATCACGGTGTGACTCAGAGCGGTCGTATCTGCCGACTGCAAAGAGATGGAGCGGAGAATGCCTTTAAAGCCACTCTTTTTGCTGGTAGCCAAGCAAAAGACAGTTACAACCGATTCCTTTTGCAAGCAAAATAGCTCTACTGCTACTGCGTACCTTAACAGGACTATTTTTAGTACCATCAATATGATACTAAACTTGCTGCCTATAATTTAGGCAGTTAAATAAATTATTGTGATGCTTTCTCTTTTCCCAGACAAAGCAATTTGCCATGCGTTTTTTTCAAATGTAAATTCGAAGCTAACCCTATGTCCTTCATCTCTGCCCACACGAGGGCAAAAAATAGGAACATTTCCATAACTTAAACACTCATTTCCAGCCTCTTTGATGGGTTCCTTCTAAAAAAAAAAAAAAAAAAATTAATATCTATTGCTTTTTAGTGGAGACTCAGAAAGCATTTTTACCCCTGGAATGGTCCTGACTAAGGCTTCCCAGTTCCTGGGGTTAACACATATTTATGATAGAGATTGAAATATGACCCAGGAGCCCTGCATAAAGATGCATTTTTGTACTCACGAAACACACTTTTGCTTGTTTAAATACAATACTTTTATATATTAGATTATATTTGAAACATATCATTGATTTGCCTCACTGTGATACGTTATGAACAACTAAACATGTTGATGTGAATATTAAATTGTTCATTTATTTTTAGCTGATTTAGCTTTTTACCTCAGCCTGCAGGAAGGACCAATTTGAGGCAAACTGCGCTAGTATCAAAGGAGACAAGTGAGAAGAAAATTACGGGACAAATTGGTGAGAACTGACTGAAATCAATTCCCATGCTTTTCAAGCTGCAGAGCCTGGTGTGCAATCCTCCAGTGTCAACAACTTACAGGCCAGTGAGTTAGCGTGCTGTGCACTTTTACATGTTTATATACCTATGGACCTAAAGTTTACTGAGTAAGGACAACGTATGTATGACTTTGCTTCAGACGGCTACCTTGATGTTCACGTTTGGGAAGAGGTCCACAAGAAGGCATCTTGCTGGCATACATCAGTAATGCCATTCTGATGCTAATCACCAGATGATTAAAAAATAAACTGACCTTTGCTAAAAATGGGACATCAAGTAGCCAGCACACCACAGAATAAAGCAGTAATATTCAAGGGGGAATGGGAGAAATTTACTTTGCAGAGACATTAATGAACGGGCTATGTATGCCTACATGGTACGCTGTTTTATCACCAGTGCTCTGACAGATGTTTTGCATGCTACTTAAAGGAAGACTTAATGCAAAACCAGATTTTACCTTCTTCATACTCAATTAAAATTCCTAGTTCTTGGAAATTAGCAGTATTACAACTTATCTGTACTAGGGGTTTACTCCAGCAGAGAATCTCCCTCTATAAAAAGACTTACTGAAGCAAAGACAGCACTTATAACCTACGTGTTCATTAACTACTCAACCAAACTACTCAGCCACTTGCCAAAGATGGCAAAATCTACCTGCTGGAGTTTATACAAATTATTCTTTGACTAAAGGTTGGATTCAAATATGGGGAATAATAATTTTCTCCCCCAGAAAATATTTTGGAAGAAATGAAATGATTTATGGCGTAAAATACTCCTCAGCATGACTGAGGGTAACTAAATCTGATAACTATCACTGTGAAAGCGCTCAGATATTACACATGATCAGGAAAAATGCCCAGGAAAAAAACAACAGGGTCTGAACCTATTCCTGGACAAAACAGTCTTTAGTGGAACATAAAGACGTTGGGTCCTTTTTTGTAAAAAGAAAGTTACTTGTCTCCCGCTGAGCGTTTTTCTTTGACTGTATTGCTCAATATTAGCATTTCAATAGTTGCAAACATCCTTGAAGTTAACATCACCTTGAGATGAAGGGGGTGTAACTGCAGCGAGTACCTTTAGCACTGCCACGCCATGCCATTTTGGGACAGTTTGTACAAAGTAAAGTTGGCAGGGCAAACTTAAATTTATAAACTTCCAGCTTCACTAGGAAAGGCTAAACTCTTCATTATATTAGATTTGATGCACGTTTTTGAAGCAATAGGAGACTTTAATGGGAAAATGTCAGAAGAATTGGAAATTCAATGCCAACGCAAAGGCGAGTGGTTTGGGAACCTATTTGTGAGCCTGATCCAAACCCCTCTGAAGAAAATGGAAGTTTTCCCCACTGTTTTCAAAGAATAACATAATAGGTTTTATCCTGTTTCCTTGAAAAAATGTGGTTATTTCAAGAAAGCAGACCCTCTTGAAAGATTTTTGATTGTTTCTGCTTCTGGGTAATTGAACTGGAATAAATGAATCAGACCGGCTCTTTACATGCTACCCACAGACAGAACAAACTAGAGGTGGTGGCAAAAAAAGGTAATTTCACTCTTGCTCCTCTCCTCTTCAGTCTCCTGCTCCTCGATGGCTCCCAGAGCCCTGTGTGGTGGCTCTGCGAGAGATGTCCACTTGCTCGTTTTAGCAGAAGGACAATGAGCTTGACACCTCCGAGCAGGACGTGCTTCTCCTGCACAATAAGTCAACAGGGCTATCTTTGATCATTTTTGTTTGTCACCCCACCATTTTCCACTGCATGCAGCTCAGTAAATGCACTGGGAAACTAGAGAAAATGTTATGATTTACTATGATTGGCAAAACATAATGCTGTCTTTTCTGGAGCTTTGATTTCATGACTAGAGCTGCAAACTGTGACTTGCTGTGCTTCCCTGTGCTATGCTCCTCATTTTGCTGCATGGAAATCCATCTCTAAATAGGAGTGAGATCAAGGCATGGCATTCAAAACATTACAATGCATCGTTCTGGCATCCTTAATTACCTAAGAGCTTGTTACAACTGCATGAGCATAGAAAATTTGGGTCTAATATTGCAGATCATCATCTCAGCACCTGAGGTTATCAGAAGTATGGCAGGAGATGTAAAAGCAAGGTATGGGCTTTATACCTTGTAAAGATGTGCTATTATTTAAAAGCTTTACAGTGGGTCAGCACCTGCAGCAAAAAGCCAGCCGACCTGAGTCTCCTCTCAGCTGATGTAAATGCAAATCGGGGTAATGCAACCAAAATTGATAGTTCACGGCAGCACACGGACTTGGCCAAGTGCCAGCGAGCCAAATTCTGATGGAGATGTGTAAAGCAGAGAGCTGAAAAACCACAATCAGAAAAGAGATTGAAGGCAAGAACTTTGCCACCATCATTCCCACTTCTTCCAAAAATTATCTGGGAAAGATCTCGAGATAAGAGTCTGTAAGATGGGTGTACCCCAAACCTAAGGAGGTGGAGAGCCATCCTCCGGGGTTTAGAAATGCCAGCCTGTATTTAGACACATCATTCAGGCTCTAATCGGAGGAACCTCACTGCTGGATAGAGAATGGCCTGTTCCACAGTCCTCGTAAAAATGACTTGCATGAGGCTGCTTTTGTTAGGACAGAGAACAGTAAAAAATGAGGCATCCACTTGCTGTATAACAATACATCCACAGCAAAGAGCTCACTACGGATCAATATGATCCTTTAGGCAAGCAAAAACAACTATTATGGTAGGGCATGCTCATCATGGGGAAGGTGGGTGTTATATGAGATGCAATATATAAGCTGATGATAGTGGGGAAAGGTAGCTCATTGTTCAAAAAACAAGCAAACAAAAAGGCTGTGCTTGCTCCTTCCCGTTCCCCGTCCCACCATGTCTCTTTGCTGCACCGCACATGATTTGGTACTGCTTTCATTAGGACTTGAAAAGAAATTCTCACACAGAAAGTAGCTCGCTGCTGTCGTATCCATTCCAATTGAGTTTTCTCACAAACTAGCCTTCATTTTTTGCTATTTGGGAACACGTGATATGGGTGAGTAGAATTGCCATACAGTGTGGGTGGGCTTGCAATTGCTATTTCTTCCTATTCATGCTACACTATTGTGTTACCAAATCTGTGACTTATTTATATCTGATTGGTAAAGATTAAAGATGAAAACTTTCAACAATTGGCACATGGGATTAAAACACAGCATTTTCATCCAACTAAACACATAGGTTTCTAGGAAGCAGCAGTTACTCGGGCAACTCTCCTTTTGACTGAAATGGGAATTTTCATTGAGGGAAGTTCATAAAAGCCAATTCAGAGTCTTTGCAAATAAAATACGAACAGATGAAATAGCTCATAAATTCATAACGTGTTAAAATTTCACCTTGTACTTAGCACTTGTCGAATAGCTCGTTCTCCATCGGACCGTGTAGAAGCGAACCTCCGTAGTCTTTTGGTTCTTTGGGACAGAGTTGTCTGCCCAGATGACCCTCACTGCATCATGCGTAAGTGTAACAGCCTGGACACCTACTGGTGGGAGCATGGGGGTGGAGATATCTGGGACTGAGGTAGGGAAATCATCAAGCAAAGGATAAAAATCAACTTCTAATGGATCAATGGGTTCTGGGTCCATACATCACCAAATGAGCATTCCAAAATAAATGAATAGGTAAGTTAAACAGAAAAACAAAACAAAACAAAACACAAACAGCCACCAAGGGGCACACAGCACAATGGGTTAAATGCATGGCATTAATGAGGAGGAGGAACATGAGGAGAACAGAAAGAAAGGCATTAATGCAAAATGAGAACGCATCAGCAACATTTCAGTTACATCACTACAACAAAACTAACCAGCGCTAAGTGCTATTCGTCACGACTTGTTTAAACACTTCCAGGTATGCTGCGTTCTCTTCACAGGAGACAAAGTCAATGCACAGTGTCTCTCCTTAAAATGACTTACATTTTGTTAAAAAAATTGAATCACTTAAATGATACATTATTGGAAATACCTACAAAGTGGAGAGCGTATCATCTTCCAACCTGATTTATAGACATGACATACTCTTACATGTGTAGGAGTTACCTATGCTTTTCTCTCTCGGCAGCCTCTTTCAGGCTCTTTTGTTGCTTAAAGCTCTTGAAAGGAACGTATTCTGCATCTCCTTAAACGTTTGTTAGGCAAAACAGAACATAACAATTCCACTGCTGAAGTGAAGATCTTGCGATTGTTGGTTTAATACTGTCAGCGTGTTAAATGTGTGCATCCAGGCGTGGAGACTTGGATTATCTTCAGGTGGGCTTCTTCCTCGAGGAACAAGCACGGTTCCTCTCCCGTGATCGGGTGGTCTTTGGGGAGCAAGATGCTGAGCACCATGCACATGCCATGGCAGTGCGCTATGCAATGCCAGAGGAAAATTCTGGCTGGCTTAACTACCGAGACAGTGGCACATTTCATTTCATTTCCAAAAGTTCAGATCTGAGTGGCATGCTGACACATCCAGTTAACCGAGGCTGTCGAGATTACTGTGGCCATGTTTTCCTTCCGCTGGGTTGCAGAGGAGGTTTCTCCGAGCTATGGCGGCGTGAGAGAGGAACCAGACGTTGGGTCAGCAGCAAATCACTGCTGTTACAATCACGGGGAAAAAAAAAAACCACGAACCACCCAGTACAGAATTCCTCTCCTGATCAGCATTCGCTTCGGCCCTGGTGACATTCACGCTCTTGGCTTCGCCAGGGCTCTGTCTCTGCCCTTTGGGCTGCACGGTGATGGCACCCACACGGGAAACAGAGACCATTTCTACTCGGTTTAAATACCTCTGTCCTTGTTGAAGCACCCCGTCAGCTTCTGGCCTATCTTTTAAAACTATACTTACTGATTCATTATTTACCAGCTGTGATTTTTCTAAATACAATTGCAAAATGCAGTGGGTAAAGTGCACCAAAAGCATGCCAAAAGGTTGCTTGGGTTCCCCCCTACCCCCAAAATAATGTGCTAATTAATTAATCAAAGCATAAATGACTCTAATTCACTGACAGTTGCTACAGTTTGTCTGCTCCATGTGCAATTGCAGCTTGTGACACTCTTTGATCACTCCTGTTTTACGGTTTTGTAATTCCTATTCAGAATTTCGGGAGGTCACAGCCTTCAGAAGGAAAAACAGAGGAGACAAGGGTGTTTAAAATGTATGATAAGCCATTAGGTTCAACCTGCTTCTTGTGTTGCTTCTTTCATCAAAAGCTGCTTTATAAGAAGTCTGAATGTGAGTGTTGAAAGAAATGAAGCAACCCGGTTTTTGTCGTAGTAATCCAAAACTCAAACACACGACCCGCACAGGGAGGAATAGGCGGCTGAATCCCTTTTTTACCCCAACCTGGTGAATCGAGCTTCTGCAAGTTGAAAGTTAATAGTTTCTTTTCCTGAACCAAAGTTTTCCAAAAGAATTGGCTGTAAACTTTGGAAGGTGAGCAATACCTGTTTCTGTTGGGGTTTTTTACAAACTTACGATGGAAGTTGATGTGACTGGAGCCGAGTTGATATTTTAGCAAATACTGCACTTCCTTTCTCTTTTTCTTTCCCATAGTGAAAACTGAAGTCCTGCTGCAGAGGAGATTATGAAGGGAGGCTGGGTTTAGCAAAATAAATGGTCAGACTCGATCAATCAAGATAATTCAGTTTCTGAAACACGTCACCACTGACCTGAGGAAGAGGGAAATGTCTATAATCCACTGGTGGCTGAAAATAGGTCCCTAAATACTGCCTCCATTTTCCACCAAAGTTTCATTTGCTATTATTTACGAGTGGACATCTGTCATCTGGAAATTGCAATCTCTCGACAGAAAATAGTTTCTCGCTCTCTTTGGAGTTGTTTTGCGAATATTGCATGTTATATAACTTTAGTTTGCCCACCGTATCCACACAAGCAGATACCAAAGTATGTCTACGTACATGCTAAACGGACACACAAAGACACAGTTTTCGGGGTTTTTTGGTGCCCAGGGTGCGTCTGCTCGGCCGCTGCTTGGGGAACGCAGTTCCCGTGCTTTCCTGCTTTGCCAAAAGACTTTTCCGAGATGTTCCTCCATCAACAACCCAGCCACCAGCTCCTTTCAGAGTCTGCATCCCATGGGTGGGAGGTGGTGGGAAGCTCCGGGTACGGACGTCTCTCAGCAATAAGAGAGAAGCACTGAGGTGGACTTCTTGCAGATGATCATCGGGTCAGTTCACCAAAACAGAGCCCAAGCCTGAATTACCTTTTTTTTCACACCTGGATATCGTTTCGTTTATGAGAGGTTATATACAGACATAAAATCAAATCCCACAGGCCAGCCGGGTGGTTTTTAAATAGAATTGACAGGGAACAAAAAACTTAAAAATAAATGTATATATGGAACCTGAGGCAAACTCACTGGAAAAAGATTTTACAAGACACACACTCAGCAAGAATGACCTCTGTAGACTCCAGACAAAAAGAAAGATTAATAATTTTGAGCCAGAAGTTCCCTGACACTTATTATATCTAATGTAGCTTGTTACGGTTGCCCTTGATTGCGTAATTAATCTTTATTTTTTTTTTCTCCTTCTGACTTTCCAAGATTTCTTATGGGAATACTTCACAAAACCATACAGATAAAAGCTGGTTTTCCTTGTAGAGCCACAGAAGTGCCATTTGGTTGATTTATTCCTCGTGGTCCACCCAAGCCAGCGTCAGCGATCGGGTTTGCTCTCAGTGACACAGCTCCCCTTCCAGGCAGCTCTGAACACCATGGGTGAACCGCGAGAAAAAAATTTCACCAAATGATGGTGTCACTCCAGAGGAAAAACACTTTTTTTTTTTCTTTTCTCCTCAGTTCTGTTCTTTCAACCCCTTGTCACTCCCACCCGCACACCAGTGATTGCAGAAAAGCCATGAGGCGGTCCGGAAGATAGTGCTACGCAAGAATAGTTCTGATTTTCTAACTTTGCTAGCGTCTCAACAACGCATCTGTGAAAAACAGCTGCCCAAAAGCACCCTGCTCCATTACCGCTGGGTAATCCCTTCTGCGAGCCTTATCCTGCCAGGAAAATCTTATCAGTATATTCCTTCACCTTTTGCAACCCCTCTACATGCTTCCGTAAAGGTGCATGACGACAGTGTGTTTTTAACTAATGCATTTTAAACTGCTTTAAAAAATGAAGAAAAAAAAAAAAGATTCATCTGGGCTTAATTCAGCAAAGTTATTCACCACTATCCTGCCCTGATCTTTAAATATTTAAATTGTTTGGGGGTCATGCTTTTCGCAAGCCAACCCGCACCAAAGAGCAAGCACTTGTAAGCATCCCATTAAATTTATACAGCCAATTTCTGGAAAGGGTAAATAATTCATTCTATCTGTGTAGTTACAATAAAGTGGAAAATGAAACTGATTTATTCTAGCAGGGACCTGGAGGCTGCAGAGCTCTTCTCTTCCATTGCCTTGACCAAAACGTTTTGCCTAACGTGCACCTTTGTGAGGCTCATGTTCACCGGCGGGGAGCGGATTATGACCCAGCACTTGCGACTCACCTGTCATCGACCTGGTGGTCGCACTTTCGTACAGAGGCACCCCCTCGCCTGCGTTGTTAAACGCCTTTAAGGAAATCACGTAATGGGAACTCGGCTCTGCAGGAGAAAACAAATAAGGCAAAACAAAGCGCACACTGTTAAAAGTCAGATCTGGGATGTGGAACGGACGAGCGCTTTCCTGAAAAACAAGAAAAAAAGAAAATAAAGTTAAGCAAACGCCTGTGCAAAGTGATGAGCACAACTGCTGCCCACCACTTTCATTTCCCTTCCAAAGGCTTTATTTATCTCAAGCGCCTGGTGCTATCTCCATCAACAGCGAGCCGAAGCTCTCCTTTAAATCACCTGCAGCTTTGCCTGTGTAAGAAAGCTGCAACCGACTTTGTGCATGAGCCGAACCTC